CTTAAATTTTTGTTTTTCGTTCATGGGTGGAAAAATTAATAAACAGCTTGAATATTCGATTTCTACATGTGGGCGGGAATTAAACGCCCCTTTCTGCTGATTGGTCAGCCGAAGATCAAACCGTGCCATTATCAGTTCTTCTGCAGTATTACGCAGCAGAATAATAGTCCTCCACTGCTGCAGTTGTATGGATTCTTAATGCATTTATTGCAACTACATTTAATCTTTTTTCATCAAACAAACAGGCTTATGAATAGCTCAACACAACTCATACTGGGGCAGAGTCTAGACAGGGCTTTCTTCTGTGTAGATATAAATTCTATTCTTTGCATCAGCTGGGCATGGCAGGGTATGATATGACAGCTGTCATAGCCTACCCTGCTCACCCAGTAAGTCTGTTTGTTTGTTTAATTAAGAAATTAATTAATTAATTCGTTTCAAGATAAATATTTTAAACACTAAGACAAAAATGAAAGAATAATAAATTGGCTTGGGTATATATAGGCCTATGTTCAGGCAAGAACTGTCATTCTGACTGACAACCGGAGAAAAACAGACATTAAATAGCCTGCTGTTAGAGTTATATAATGTAGTCTTGTGTTTTATTAAAATTGATTATAATTGATATCTCAAAAGGATATGCACTTGTGCGCAGCGTTTTCAAAAAAATATGAAATTGATAAAATGGGTTATTAATCCGTACAACTGCAGCAGTGGAGGACTATTATTCTGCTGCGTGATACTGCAGAAGAACTGACGCCACGAACGCCACGAGATGCATATGATTATTTTACGACAGATATGCATCCGCTTCAAAAAAAAAAAAAGTCACCATTCTCTGCCATTAAAATGGCAAGTGCCAACAGGAAATTTTTGTGTTATTAAGTAATAAGCCTTAGAACAACATTAAGGTGAATATTCACTCAGTTCACACAGTTCCAATAAATTGTGATGGGTTAAATAAACTCAATAAGCAGACAGACGCGACTACAGTCAAGCGCAGACCTGCACAGGAAATAAGCAGCAGTCATATTTAAAGCAGTTTAAATTAATATTGAGTACTGATTGATGTTCACTTGGATTTTTTCCCCATCGAGGTGAAATAACTTAATACTCTGTCATTTATAGTCGTATGGTAAAATGTATATTTTTAATTGTGTAACGTTACGTTCAAAATAACTACAAAATGTCATGCCTTTGAAAAATAAAGAGAAAGTCTCATTGAGCATCTTTCTGGCGCATGCCACAGACATGAACCACAGGGAATACTAGTCTTTTAAAAGGCTTCATTTAGATTATTTGACGTTAAATGCATCATATAAGTCACTCTGCTGATTGGTCAGCCGAAGATCAAACCATGCCATCATCAGTTCTTCTGCAGTATCACGCAGCAGAATAATAGTCCTCCACTGCTGCAGTTGTACGGATTAATAACCCATTTTATCAATTTCATATTTTTCTCATCAAACAGAGTGCGAGTGCGCAGTAGCTCACGCTGCGCACAAGTGCATATCCTTTTGAGATATCAATTATAATCAATTTTAATAAAACACAAGACTACATTATATAACTCTAACAGTAGGCTATTTAATATCTGTTGTTCTCCGGTTGTCAGTCAGAATGACAGTTCTTGCGTGAACATAGGCCTATATATACCCAAGCCAATTTATTATTCTTTCCCTTTTGTCTTAGTGTTTAAAATATGTATTTTGAATCAAATTAATTAATTTCTTAATTAAACAAACAAACAGACTTACTGGGTGAGCAGGGTAGGCTATGACAGCTGTCATATCATACCCTGCCATGCCCAGCTGATGCAAAGAATATAATTTATATCTACACAGAAGAAAGCCCTGTCTAGACTCTGCCCCAGTATGAGTTGTGTTGAGCTATTCATAAGCCAGTTTGTTTGACGAAAAAAGATTAAATGTAGTTGCAATAAATGCGTTAAGAATCCGTACAACTGCAGCAGTGGAGGACTATTATTCTGCTGCGATACTGCAGAAGAACTGATGATGGCACGGTTTGATCTTCGGCTGACCAATCAGCAGAAAGGGGCGTTTAATTCCCGCCCACATGTAGAAATCGAATATTCAAGCTGTTTATTCATTTTTCCACCCATGAACGAAAAACGAAAATTTAAGCTGAATTCTCGTTTTTCGTTTTTAGGAAAAAAACAAAAAAACAAAAAAGGAGCCGTTTTCTCATTTTTCTACTTTCAATATTAAATCAAAAAACGAATGATCGAATGATACACGGATTAGAAATGAGCATGAACAATCAAATATCCAATATTAGTCGATGCCAAAAATTAAATAAAAACACTAATAATGGCTGATAACTGATATAGTATCAATATAATGTGCATCCCTAAACAAAATACTACTATAAAACGTATGGTGTAGTGTGCAAGTAGCTGCTTCCACTTTATCTATCACCAGTGAAGTCATAAATTGTGTGATAGAGCTCTATAGTGGACAGTAACACTAATGAGACAAGATAGATGTGTGTACAGTATCTGTGTGTGCAGGCTGGGCTCTGTGGTGCTCCACCTCAGAAGAAAATCAATTGCATCTACGAGATGCTCTTACTAATATGGTGAAACCGACACATGCGTGAATTTTTTGAGAGGCCAAGGGACGTGTCACCTAAAAGAAGCCTGCCTCCTTTGAAAAGATGAATGGCCAGCGCAGCCTCGAACCGCGGCTCTTGCGTCATCAGGGACGATACATCAGAGGCAGAGCTGAACTCTCTTG